TGCTTACCTTTACATGCACGAGCACACACACACACATACACACACACACACACACACACACACACACACACACACACACTAAGGCATCTAAACTCTCAAATTCTGACTCTTTGGTACGCTTCTTTGAGGCCTTGCTTGTCCTCATGGTGCTTCTGATGTACTCCAGGGAACACTCCTTCTGTAATCCTCTCCCCTGCCTATGGAAAACAGAGGCAAGAGCTGGAAGGAGAGCTTTCCAGGCAAGGAGCTGGTAGGTGGGCAGCAGCCACTCTCCTCCCGTGGGCAGCAGCGATAGGATCTTGGCTGCAGTGCCTGTTCAGTCTGGGCCGAGGGACTGCTGCGGGCAGTTAGTTTGAACTCTCAATGTGTCACAGTAACTTGCCTCGGGGACAAGTCGCCAACCCACAAGATCTACTGTGTCTTCTGAAAAGTGTCAAGATACAAGGACTCATCCACCTGACTGGTGCTAATTATCCCAGCCTCATTTCTTCCCCTTTTGTTTTTGTTTTTGTTTTGTTTTGTGACACAGCAGCATGTAGCCCTAGGCTGGCCTCTAACTCGCTATCTAGCCAAGGATGACCTTGAACTTCTGAGCCTCCTGCCTCCATTTCCCAAGTGCTACCATGCTTGGTTTATGCAGTGCTGGGGATGGAACCAGGGCTTTGTGCATACTAGGTGTGGTGGTTTGAATAGGTATGTGTGGTGGCATTGTGTTCCCCCAAAAATTGTGCTCCCTAATAAACTTATCTGGGGTCAGAGAACAGAACAGCCACTAGATACAGAGGCTAGAAAATGGTGGCCCACCTTTAATCCTAGCATTCCAAAGGCAGAGATCAGTCTGGATCTCTGTGAGTTTAAGGTCACATTGGAAACAGCCAGGCATGGTGACACACGCCTTTAATCCCAAGAAGTGAGCCTTTAGTCCCAGGGAGTGATGGCAGAAAGCAGAAAGGTATATAAGGTGGAAAAACCAGGAACTAGAAGCATTTGGCTGGTTAAGCTTTCAGGCTTTCAAGCAACAGTTCAGCTGAGATTCATTCTGGATGAGGACTTGTAGCGGTAACGCCCGCATTACCGATACCCGTTCACCACGTCCGAGCGAAGGGCTGCGGATTAAAAATAGAGACAAGAGACAGCGAGTCATTCGCCACGACTGAATGCTGAATGCCGTTTATTGAAAGAGGGAAGAAACCTTAAATACAGGCTTACAACACAAATGGAGGATCCCCGGAGGGCAGAAGTTTGCTACCAATGTTCTAGACCCAATGTTCTACATTCTTGCATCTAAGTTATTTACACCAAACACAGGTTGTAGGAACAAAGAACCTCCGGTAAGCTCTCTGGTGATCCTTAGGTGAGAAGGAGATCGGCAGGGAATCTGAATAGGGAGGACATTTGTTCAAGGTCAGCAAGCAAGGCGGCAGCCACTCACAGTCGGGGGCCAGGGCCCATGGCGCCCACAAGGACTCAGAGGCATCCAGTCTGAGGAAACAGAATCAGCTGAGGAATTGACAAGGTGAGGTAGCTGTGGCTTATTCTGCTTCTCTGGTCTTCCAGCATTCACCCCAATTACTGGCCTCAGGTTTGATTTTATTAATAAGACCTTCTAAGATTCCTGCTACAGGTATGGCCCCCATGGACTCACGTATTTAAATACTTGGCCCATAGGGAGTGGCACTCTTAGAAGATGTGGCCTTGTTGGGGGAAGTGAGTTACTGTGGAGGCAGGCTTTGATGTCTCATATGCTCAAGCTACACCCAGTGTGGCACACAGTCTCCTGCTGCCTACGGATCAAGATGCTCTCCGCCCCTTCTCCAGCACCACGTCTGCCTTCATGCTGCCATACTTCTCGCCATGATGATAATGGACTAACCTCTGAACTGTAACCCTTCCCCAATTAAATGTTTTCCTTTGTAAGAGCTGCTATGGTAATGGTGTCTCTCCACAGCAATAGAACCCTAAGACACTCAGCAAGCACTGAGCCACATCCCCAAACTTCCTTTTTGCATCCACTGTCTCATAGCTGGGAGGAAGAGAGTCATTTCTGGAGTGAGCATAGGCAACTAGAACACAATGGTAGGCAAGGCAAGGGTTGAATGCCCCATGGATGTCACACTGTGTCACACCAGGCAGCTGATACAACCTTCTTATGCCTCAGGGTTCTGTTTGAAAATGAGCAAAATGCACTAGAAAGATTAGAAATGAGAAAACACAATTTTAACACTTAATGCAAAGTGCAGCCCCCGATGTGTGGGAAGCAGACAAAGAAATGCCAGCTATTCTGTCCCAGATGCTGGCCCTCTTCAGCCTTCCCTGGATTCCACTGCCAGCATGAGGTAGCAAAGGCAAGCCAGGCCTTACCTCACCTGTACCTTTCTCTCCATCCCCTTCTTGCAGAGTTATGGGGGTCGTGACAGCCCTAACAAGCCAGGCCGGGCTACCACCGGTCCTCAAGAGGCCAGCTAAACATGTAAGTAAAAAGCTGTTGTGTAAGCTTCCTCTAAGACTGAAACACTCCATCCTGCAGGGACATTCCTTAAGACAGGAAGCAGACAATTCAACACGGCTTCAGGAAGTCCCCGAAACTGACCAGATTCACTGGAGTTCTGCTTCCCAAGAAGAAACAATGAAGACTGCCGAGAGTCACTCTCAGACAAGCTACAAAGAAGACTGCGACCAGAGCAGCTCCTGGAAGGAGCAGAAACCAGCTGAGCTGCCTTGAAGGGGCTTAGGCCAACTAATTCACCTGGAAAGGACATTCTCCAACCTGTTGGACTGCCTGAAGGCTGTGCAGTGTGCTTCAGGTTTCTAGCTTTATGGTGAGCATTGGTGATGCTGCTCTATTTAGATCATTTCTGTTCCTGTAAGCAACCCCTCACCCATAGTCCTGTAAGTAACCTGTGGTGATTTGTGTAAGAGGGGCCCCCATAGGCTCATCTATTTGATTGCTAGATCACCAGGGAGTGGAACTCTTTGATAGGATTAGAAGGATTAGGAGGCGGGGCCTTGTTGGAGGAAGTGTGTCCCTGGGGGTGGGCTGTGAGGTTTCCAAAGCCCACACCAGACCCAGTCTCTCTCTCTGCCCGCAGATCAGGATGATACTCCCAGCTACTGCTCCGGCACCTGCCTGCCACCCTGCTCCTCACGGTGATAATGGACTAAACCTCTGAAACTGTAAGGCAGCCCCCAGCTGAGTGCCTTCTTTTATAAGAATTGCCTTGGTCGTGGTGTTTCTTCACAGCAACAGAACAGTGTCTAAGACTTAACCCCAATAAAACTCACTGGTTCACCAAGCTGAACCTTGGTGTCATCCATACTTTGGTGGGCTCCCGATACGGGATGAGTAGATGTGATGTGTTGCACCGCCTCAGGAAAAGCCTGTCACACTGCAAAGCAGAAAGGGGTTTATTCAATGTAGGACCATTGGAAAGAGAAACAAACAAAGAGGTCCGTGACACTTCAAGTCCATCTTCCGGGTCCTGACATGAGGTTTAGGTTAAATAAAGGGCAAGAGGTGTGCAGAGCCAGGAAGTTCTGGTCCAGTGGGCCTCACTATCATGGTTGTCTGGCCCTCAGTCTCTCCTGCCAAGGTGATCTGATGTGGTGTCAGAGCTGTGGGACATCTCTTTCCAGGAAACTAGTTCCCCCAAAAGCCACCAGGCTTCAGGCCTTTTCTTATTTCTTTTTTTGGAGGGGGAGACGGGGGGGGGGCGGGGGGGGGTCTGAGACAGGGTTTCTCTGTGTAGCTTTGGAGCCTAATCTGGAACTCACTCTACAGACCAAGCTGGCCTTGAACTCACAGAGAGTCACCTGCCTCTGCCTCCCGAGCGCTGGGATTAAAGGCGTGCGCAACCCCCCACCCCCACACCCCCGGCTCTCAGACCTTTTCTTCTCCCAGTACAATATTCCTGGGGAAATTCTAATTTCTAGGAGTCCATTGTTTCAATAGTCTTCTGGCTAAAGAGAGTCTCTTTGAATGTCTTCATTCCTACCTGGAGGGTTATAGAACCACTAAGGGCCCCCAACCTGTCACAGGGTGGAGTCTTACCCAGAGCTTTCACTGCAGTGGGGAGCTGAAGCATGGAGCTGCCACCTTGTTAAGAGGCTGGAGACGGTTGCTGAGCTCTCTCTAAACAGGGTGGGGTCTGTGGTGAGCTGCCTGTGGGAGAGAATTATCTCCTTCCAGTCAGTCAGCATGCACTGCCCCTGAGAGGCCTCACACCCACATCTCAGACCTTGAGCTAAAGGAGTCTCCAAAGGCGAGGAGGCCACAGACTGCTGGAGCCCTCCCTCCACCTGGGAAGGAGAAGTAAAAGTGATCCTGGGTACAGAGGAACCTGGTTCAAATCTCAGGTATGCCACATCTCACTTCCAGATGGTGAGTCACTCTGGTACCTGGAGATGGACCTGATCTATTCTTTTGTTGTTAAAATGTTAATTTCACTAGTATTTTTATTCCCTTTATTTATTTATTGTGTATATGTGTGGGGTACACGTGTGGGGTCAGAGGACAACTTGAGGGAGTTGGTCCTTTTCTTCTACAGTGTTGGTCCCTGAGATGGAACCCTGGTTGTCGGGACTGAAGGCAGCCAACAAGTGTTCTCATTGGCCTTGCTCTATTCTGTTTTGTTTTGACAGACAAGATCTCACTGTGTAGACCAGGCTGGCGTTGAACTCTCGGAGCTCTGCCTGCCTCCGCCTCCCAGGGCTAGGATTAAAGGTATGTGCCACCACATCCAATTCATTTTGCAGAGTTCCCGAAGTAGCACTTGTTACCAGCTCAGCTCAAATGTCACTTCCCTTCTCCCCTCCTCCTTTTGCAGGGTCAAGTCCCACGAGGCAGAGGACAACAGGGCTGGGGAATCACAACCTTCATACTGGAGGCTTTTTGTCCACCTTTGAACTCAGCCTGGTTGCAGATGACCTGAGGCCATTGACCAGCACCTCCACATCCCACCAGGTCCTGGGCGGGGCTGTGACCTGATTGTTTGGAGCTTGGTTTATACCCGTTCACCACTGCTCCAGCGGTGGGTGCAGTCAGCTCCAGCCACCCAGCCTGGGGGGCCCAGCTTCAGAAGAGCAACATCACACAGACATGGCTGCCCAGGCCCACGGTCAGCAGGGCTCTTGCCCCACCCTCCCCACACAGGGCTGTGGAGAATCACCAGAGAAGGAGGCCAGCGCAACCTACTCTAGACCTGGTGAGCCGGGGTCTGTGGGGCAGGGAGGAGGCAGGGCATGGCAGAAGTACAGAGTGTCCTAACCAGCTCTCCCAGCAAGGGCTCATTCCTGCTGCTCAGGCTCCTTTCTCAGGAACCCCAGAAGTCCATGTAGGCATGCTTCCTCCAAGGAAGTGCACACCCTCTTTCCTTTTCTTTTTGTACATGTGTGGGTTCATGCCTGGTGTGTGTGTGTGTGTGTGTGTGTGTGTGTGTGTGTGTGTGTGTGTGTGTGTAGACAAGAGGCGTCAACCTCAAACGCCATCTGCCTGGCTTTCTTTTGAGTGTCTTAGCCAGAAGCTCACTGGGTTTAGCTAGGCTGGCTGGCCAGAGAGCCCCAGGGATTATTGGTTTCTGTTTTCCTGGAGCTGGGTGCACCTCTAAATCTCCCAGCCTCCACGTGGGTCTGACACATCTCCATGCTTAACCACAAGCAAGGACTGTTGATTATACATAAAAGTTTTGTACCAGGGAGTATCTTGGGCTACACAGTGGGTTCAAGGCCAGCCTGAGATACATGAGACCCTGTCTAAAAAAAGTTCACTTCAGTAGAGGAATAGAAAGAGGCAATTTAGGCGGTGGTGGCACACGCCTTTAATCCCAGCACTCGGGAAGCAGAGGCAGGCAGATCTCTGTGAGTTCAAGGCCAGCCTACACCACAGAGCGAGATCCAGGACAGGTGCAAAACTACACAGAGAAACCCTGT